GCTGCAGGCGATGCGGATCGTCTCGACACTGGGTACGGGACTGTCCGGACGTACGATGCGCAGGATGCGAAAAAGAAGCCCCTGGACACCTGGAGCGAGAGTGCGGAACCAGGCCGATGAAGCGACACGTATCCGCACCACCTGAAGAACCTGCGCGACACGTGGGGGTGGTCGTCGACAACGTGTTCCTCGAAGGAATCATCAACGAGGCGAAGGAGAGGAAGCAGAAAGAAAGGCAGACGAAAGCGGTACCTATTCCTCCACCGCGCAGCGCTAACCCCGAACCCCCCGCCAGTCCCGTCGCGGGACCTTCGCGCCCCCGCCCCGATACACCCGTCGTCTTTCGCAAAGTCAATTCTGACTGGACACCAGATACCACTCAATGGACGTGGGACAGCTCCTGGCCGAATCAGAAGCACCTCTCTGGCGAGGAATGGATGAACGTAGGGAGAAATGCGCGCAAGGAGTGGTTCGACGAAGAGGAGGATGACGGCGTAGATTGGGAGTTGTATGGAGATGGGGAGCAGTAAGTAGTCGAATGGGACTTCGACTCTGGTAGGGGGTTAATGAAACATTTGTCTTTCCGTTCTATTCCTTGTACTACTAGCGCCCATACTGGCGCCTGTCTAAGCGCTCACCTGCAGGTTGAACATTATGTAGCTTACATAATGGGGTCCGTGCGCACTTCGTGCCTGGTATCGTACCACTATGTTTCTTTCTTCACTAACACGACCGCGTAGACACGATGGTCCGTGCGCAGTCGGTACTTGTATAAGTAGTTGTACCATTAGTCGGTCGAACCCTAAGTTCGACCTGGTTATTCATTCAAGTCTCTGCTCCTCTTCGCTTGGGGTAGTGGTCATTCTCGGCTTCCTCGCTCGATCTTCAGGACGACGCACTGTCCATAAGCCCTCGCTCGTCGTCTACGAGTCAGGCATCGATATAGGAGTATAGACCGTTGTATCAGTCGTCGTCATCTTCCACCTGCGTTACACCACTCGCAGTTGGAATGGGCATCTCATTGTATTGCTCAGCGTGTCCATCACATGCTGATTGATGCGGGCCATGTCCAATTCCACAGCCTTGATACCGCATGAACATATCCCTGTCAACGAAACTGGGAGCCAATGTCAGCTGCCATCCTAGTGAAATAAAACTAAGCCTACATGTTGACATAATAAGATGCCCAGTCGTCCACCTCGCCAGCGGTTCGCGCTATGGAATCAGGGCAACTGAGTAGCTCCAAAGTGCGACCATCAGCAAAGGTTGGTATCAGATGACACCCTCTAATGACCAGAGAAGGGTCGAGGAAGCCAAATGCACATGGGTCTGATTCGGGAACAAACCCGATCTTGGGGAGATGTGCTCGGTGGGATCCGTATCGGTGATCAGGATCGATGCCGAACCAGCGTACCCAAAGAAACTCGATGCATTGAAGTGAGCGATTGGTGGCCGTGGCGTCAGCATGAACAACGGAGGCGTGGAATATTCCAATAACACGAGCATACCAGTATGGATGGACTCCCGGACCCGACTCACAAGAATGAATCATAATGTCGCAATGAGCGTGTGAGTTCATGGAATCCTGGTTCCGTCGTATGTCGTATGTCGTGTAGTTCACCCGTAAGACTTTGTGATGGTAAATCTTGTTTCCCAGTATGATCACGGAGTCACGCTGCGCTGCCGTGTACTCGTGTTCGTCCCCGTCGAAGTCCAAGCCAAGAAGGCGAGATAAAAGGTGATTCTTCAGTTGGGGAATGAAGTTCTGCACAGTAAACAGACATCAGGCCCGGGATGCATATCGCTGTATGCTTGCCATGCTTACCTTAACAGCTGGATCGGTTCCAAGCTCATGTACAAAGGCAAAAAGATGACGGGGATAGCTCGTTGAATCGGACATATGATGGTGCATATGGATGTCTGTGTATGGTAGCGGCTCGGAATCCACGAAGCTGACGTGTTGAGGGCGGCAGCGCAGCTTCTCTTCATCCCCTAGTTGGCGCAGCTGGGTCTCGCGCCGCTCCAGTCTCGTGAGTTGGCTCGCGGGATCATTTTTGTTGGTAAGTGCATAGCGTCGCTTGGTTTGCCGATGTTCAAGTTTGCCCTAATATTCGTTACAATAAATCAGAATTACAAAACAACAGAGGTATGCATTGTGACTTACAGTTTGTGTCGTGTACGAATCAGTGGTTCCGAGACATGGTATGAGATGGGCATAATCACCAAAAGCATGATGCTTGTATGTGCAGAGATTGAAAGCCTTCAATCGACGGGTTTCACCAGATGGTCTTTGGTTATTCTATGTCATAGATGCTCGCTGCTGGTCTTGTCGAGTTCGCGCTCGTGCTTCCTTTGGAAGCTCGACAGTCTTGAATGCTGGGCAGACATGATCGCAGAAGTGTCGCAAGCATTTCCCGAGCTGTTCAGTGACCTGTCGCAATCTGTCTAATGTAGAGTCTGTATGCATGCGCAGCTTTGCGAGTGCATGCCACTCTGCAAAGCGGTACAGAAGCGACATGATGACATTGTCGAACTCAGTGGGTAGCAAGCCCTCGAAAGCTGCGATTGAGCACTGCAGAGATGAGTATATCATTTCCTCCGGAAAGAGATTGATGGATACCTGCAGAAGGTCCTCATAGTCGCGTGCTGCCATCTTCTTCATTTCCGAGACATTCTCTGAGAATCTACGGATGGTGGTACATCCAAATGGAGGGATTTGATGAAATCTATTTGTTTGTGATATAATGCCATTGAGTAGACATCACTTACAAAAAAGGACACCTACCGATGATTCAATTCAACAACCATTTGTCCTGATGGAGCAACTGCATAGAGAATACGAATCAAATGAGTGAACAGTGCCTTCCATACTCCGAGTTCAACTTCGTGCATGAAATCGACAGGAAGAATTGAGAAGACATCGAAAGAATCTCCCAGACAGCTGGTAAATGCATTCTTGATGACGATTATGAATGATATAAATAGTAGGACACAGTAGTTATGCACATACCAAGGTCGGTACAAGCGATTGAGGCTTGAGCAATCTCTGTCACGACTTGGTACGGCGCCTAGCCGTTTTTTAATTTTTTCTTTTCGCGGGCTCGAACCCGTGACCTCTGTACTACCTACCTGATATGGACGCGTCGTTATCTACTATACAATTAGATCAAATGGGCGGCAGCGCACGGCACAGCTTGGGCTCCGCTGACACAGCCGCTCTGACTCACCGGCCCTCGGGGCCACGTCGGCATGCTGTGCACGGACCAACTGCACACGGACCAACGCGCACAGCCTGCCCTAATCTCCCCATGTATATAAACCGGCCTCTGCTGCCCTAGGGACCTCAGTTTCGACCTCTTGTCCCTAGGTCAGTAAGCTCCTTTGTATCCTTTACTTACCTGTACTAACTAATACATTTCTTGTCCCTAGCCTTAGGTTTGAGTGTTGCTCACCATCGCTTTGGTAAGAACCAGTCGAACGCCCCCAGCTTTCAGGTTTTCCTCTGTCGCTCAACCTCAAGTCGCGACATTAGGTCGAAACTCCCCATAGCTGCCGGCGTTCCATCGGGACCCACACACTCACATTCACTTCCTATAGGTTGGGTGGTGCGCACCCCTTCTGTACCCTACAATACATAGATAGCATACGATACATCGCCAACACTCGAGAAACGAACTCTTCAGTACCTGCGCTTCAGTGAGCGGTACTTGTCCTCACGGACGCGTAGCCTTGGTTCCTGCTGCATAATAGTCAAAAGCAGTATTGGGCCCTACGTGAACTGCGAATCTCAGTGTCATCTCGGGCGCCGTAGATGTAAGCTAGTATAGCACGGCCTTTCGTAGCACGCGCACCTCCCCTTCCTCCCCCCCCTCAACATGGCTGACGAATTCTTCGACTGCTCTCGACTAGAGCATGCCTTCGACACCCAGGAGCAGGTCGACGTCTCTCGCGACGACCCAGACCGCGACGGCAAACTAGCTCCTTTCTTCATCTGTGATCGGCAACCGTGCCCTAATCGCACTCCACGGTCCATCACTGTTGACGAAGGACACTTCGTGCCAATCCGACGAGTCCAACACCCCAGCGGTCCTGCACTCCAGTACGCTGGCACCTCGAGATCTACATCTCGCCACA